TAAAAACACTCTTTAATCTTTTGTCTTAAGTAAACAATCATAAACGAGAAGAAAGGATAGACATACCTTGTTTCGTAACAAAAAAGAAAATACTGTTATCATCGTTATCAAATAAAATAGGAATTTTTAATTATATAAGCAATGTCAAAACGAATTGGAAATATTTCGATTCGGAATGATCTATGAACGCTATTATGCAAACTTTTTAATATGGTAACTGATATTTGGAAAATAAAAGATTAGAATATTTAGTTATGGGTTTTCTTTTATAGAGTACAATGTGTAGATGTTTTATTTCATAATTTCATCTACATACATCGTCATTTATTTCCAATTTAAGTTATCTTATTCACTAGAACATTTGTATTGTATCTAAAAGGAAAATGAACTTGTAAAGCTATTCAACGAAGTATTTACAGTATCATTTGTCAATTTTATATTCACTCGAGTTTCATATATTGAAAAGATTTCATGAAGTGATTTTTCTTTTTTTTTTTTTTTTTTTTTCATTAGACAAAGTTCACTTATAAAAGCAATGATATACACCTAAATGTAACACCTTTGCTCTTAGTCTCATTTTAAATGATACAGAACAATCATTTTGACATAGTTAATAGAAAGAGAGAATTTAACATCTCTATTACATGAAAAGATGACAAGTTTTAGCAAGACAGCATCATTTTTTGTTCTATTGTTCATTTTTCGATCACCTTTTTTTCTCACATTGATACGAAAAACGATTGTTATTTGTTTTACCTTTTGCTCCCATACGTAACACACTACGATGAATTGAACAATATCGTTTCTTCGTTGTTTGCTATCGGTATAAAATGTGTATGAATCATTTGTAAGAGCAAATTGAACGAGCGAGGTCAAAATTAACAGTGATACGTTTTAACAATCGGATTTAACCCAATCAGTTAAATATATTGCTTATTCGTTCAAATAATATGTTATTAAAAATAATGATAACTTCAATCATTCTTTTTCATAGAGTCAAATATCAAAAAAAATAAAATTCAACAAATAAATATCTTCTTCAGAAACAAAATAGTTATCCAATAACGATCTCGTTCATCATTATCAAAATTGTGATGTACTACACATCAATAATTTTTCGCCTAATCAATATCAAACATGATGTAGTATATTGAACCTTTTATATTTTTATTATACATAGCAAATGATAAGATGAAAAGTCGTCATGCTTCGAGCTTTCATATGATGATAGGAATTAACGAGGAAAAAATACGAATAGATTCTCCCACGAATGACCAAGATAACTTGAATCATGTTATCGGAGTATGTTTAAAGATATGTGAGCCTTTTTTTTTCGACATTTATCATGTATATCAGTCAATATTACAATAGTTACCACATCGAGTAAGATGAGATAAGAAATGAATAATTGCCTAATCAACATACGAAGCACAAAAAAAAAACTAAAGAATCTGAGTAAAGTGTAACATGAAAACTAACGTTGATGACATACATATAGATAGGATGTTCAAGGAATAAAAGACATTCATTATTAATGATTAAAATAAAAAGATAAAAGAATGATATAATTTTGATTTATAGGTTTTGTCATCGAGATTTAATATAATATGTCGAACTACTTCATGGAAAACAATAATAGATCGAGGAAATCATTCAATTATTTCAAGAATATTTTTTGATGATGAATTTCATCGACATAGTAGAAAAAAAGAACTTCATAAAAACACTCAATACAATGATATGATAATATTTTATTTAGTTATTCTTTATAAATCTATCATTATTATTTTATATTCTCTCTATTCAATTAGAAGTTTAATTCGTCAATATCAAAACAATAAATTGTCAAATAATTAAACTCATTTCAATCGTTTATAATCAACATTCGTTAATTACTTCTATACAAAAAAATCTCAACATCTAAACAATCGAAAAGAATTTTAACAAGAAAAATTTTCAATATAATAGAATTTTGTCTTGTCAAAGACTATCATGCCTGAGTGATTGTACTGTTCGACACGTACCGATGAGATAATATGTTCAAATTTCAGTACCACCATCCAGAGAATGACATTGGACAAGTTGCTAACAGCTGTTTGTCTTGAATTGCTTGTCTGATAGCACGTTCACTACATTCTGACATACATCTGTTCCTATGGCCAGTACGTGATTAGTTAGTGTATATAGAAAACTGAAGCAATTGAGTATAAGAATTCGGCGTCAGACTGATTTTCTGTTCAGAGATACAGATCAGAGTTCGAACCGGTCCGGTCGGACCGGACAAGACCGGATGAAAAATTAAACCGGCCCGGACGAAACCGGATTTTTGCCAGTTCATAATATTGAAATTAATCCTTGTATTTCAAAGTTTTCTCCGACGACAACAACTTTTATTCGCTTTTTTTGCGTTGAAATATTATGTCAACGATTATTAGAAATTCCACATGAAAAAGAGAACATATGTCGAAAATATTTGTACAAATTCATGTACATGCATAGCTTCGATTGTATTTAGTAGTAGTCGCTTTTGATCGTAATTAATAAACCAGTCGGATTTTTGACGAATTTTTGCCGGATTTTTGCCAGTTTGACGTCAAA